TTTAAGGTCTCTTCCAACCCAAACCATTCAACAATTCTTTGAAAAATGACAATCCAGGGACAGAGCTGCCAGACAGCCTTACCTCGGTCCCCAAGATGTCACCAAGTGAGTGCTGCTGGAGCACAAGGGAGAGAAGGGCAATAGCGCTGTCACCTGGGACAGCTTGCATCTGCCCAACAAGAACCCAAGCATCTTCCTCCCCATCTGCTTGACAAAGCACAGGCACCAAGCGCCCTCCTGACACGCGCCACTTTTCAGGGTGTCACTGCTGGATTAACAATGGGCTCTTCCCTGCTGGCCACAGCAAATAGCCACACAAGCAGCTACACCATCAGCCTGAGCCTCAAAATCTCAGGTATTTGTTACTGTAGGGCTGGTTTAGGTGGATCAGACACTCCCTGACCCTCAGGGAAGCAGCAGGAGCGCACAGTGAGTGCTGAGGAAATGGGGGCAAGAAAGGAGCCAAGGAGCCACCGCCTCCGCCGGCAGCCTGGCCCGGCACCAGCCATGGAACCACACCTACAGAGAACAGCTGTCTGCAGAAGGGATGTGGGGGTTTCTGAGGGAAGTCCAGGGCTGACAGGAAGCCTGGCACTACTCCCACATTTCTTCAAACTACAGATTCCTGGGAAACACAGCATCTACTATGGATGCATTACACGCTTCTTGTACTCTTCCCTCAGCACCTGCAACTGGCCAGGGCCAGGAGTGGGTAAGCCAGGCTGTTGGTCTGATATCTTCAGTCATTTTTATGTTCCCAGCAACCACAACAGGCCAAAGACATCCCATCCATTGCTGGAGGGAGGCATGTGGCTGCTGTGGATCACATAAATATCCTCAACTCACTGAATCACAAAGTGGTTGAGGCTGGAATCTTGCATGGCAATCTCGCGTGTGAGGTCTGGGCAAGCAGAGCCCATTGCAACTCAACAGGCTTTAATTACAGCTCAGTGTGAATATAAACATCTAGGAAATAGGAGAATTCCTTCTGGGAAGTCGTGCATAAGAGTTCTATGAGAGTGAGGACACAAAGCCAGAGCAGCAGCAGGAGGGACGTGAAAGGACAGCAGGTAGGGGAGGAGGAGCCAGGCTGTGGAACCTTGTCCTTTATGAGGGCCTGTAGGGACAGGACAAAGGGGAATGGGTTTAAACTGACAGAGGAGAGACTGCGATGAGGTCTTAGGAAGAAGTTCTTCCCTGTGAGGGTGGTGAGGCCCTGGCACAGGTTGCCCAGGGAAGCTGTGGCTGCCCCAGCCCTGGCAGTGTTCAAGGACAAGTTGGACGGGGCATGGAACAACCTGGTCTAGTGGAAGGTGTCCCTGCCCATGGCAGGGTGGGTTGAAACTAGATGAATTTTAAGGTTCCTTCCAACCCAAACCATTCTGTGATTCTATGAAGCAGAACAACACTGGTGGCACAGGAATGCGGCAATGCCTGGCACAGCCGAATCCCGGCCTCAAGACTGGGATGAACTGGTGAAATCTTCACCCTTTTTCCAGTATTAGCTTTTATTGCAGGAAGATTTGTTTTCACACAGAATACCAAAACCTATGAAACTGAGAAGTAGGGGAGTTCATAGTTAATGTATCAAAAGAATCAGCTCAATGCAATAAATATTTGTAATAACTTCTGTGCACAATGAGCATCCAATGCTCCTCTCAGCCAGTCCCATCCCCACCAGAGAGCCATGTGGGACATGGCCGCCCCCCAAGAACCAGGTTCAACTTAACATCCTGCATCTAGCAAGACCCCTTTCCCCCTTCCAGGACAGAGGGGAGCCAGCCAGAGCAGCTGGCATGGATGCTCCATGAGCACATGGACGTTTGCCTACCTGTGGATGATCCCCAGGGCTTTGTAGATGGCCACTCGCCCACTACCCTCCTTTGACTGCCCGTCCCTCTTGTCTTTGGCGTACATGTTCTTCTCGGAAAAGTTGCAGCCCATGAAGTCGAAGTAAGGTGAGTTCAAGGAGATGAGTTTGGGGAAGAGCATGTTCTCCACCTGTGAGGCACAGAGGGGCACATGGGTGACTTAAGGAGGGCCCATGGCTGTCCCTCCTGCTACAGCACTACCAGTGCCAAGCTCTGGGATGTGCTGGGGTGTCAGCTGTGCCTGCTCTGCCCAATTCCAGTGTCTTGCAAGCTCAAGCCCTGCTCTGGGCGATGCTGCCTGGCCTCTGCCCATCTCCAGCAGGGAGAGGCAGCAGCTGGGATCTCCCACAGCCTGCTCATGGATAGCAAGGGGCCTGGCAGCACAGCTCTTAGCCTATACTCTCATTCATTAGGACAGGAAGGGGCAGCTTGTCTGTTCTGCCCACACCAGCTCACAGGGGAAAAGCCAAGACCAGTATGTTATGGTCCAAACAAGTTTCTGTGTGCTGGTGGGGAAACTGGCTGACTGGCCGCTTCCCAAGGGTAGTGGTGAACAGCTCATTCTCTGTCACCAATGAAGTCCCCCAGGGATCAATACTGGCCCCAACACGGCTCAATGTCTTCACAAGACATCTGGAAAATGGTATCAAATGCACCCTGATGAAGCCTCCTGATGATCCCAAACTGACTGGGGAAGTAGACACTTCGGAAAGGAGAGCCACCCTGCAGGATGACCTGGACAGGCTAGAAGAGGGGGCTAACAAGAACTTTATGGAGCTCAAGGACAAGTGTCAGGTCTTGCACCTGGGAAAACTCAATCCAGGAGTGCAGCACAGGCTGGGATCTGCCTGGCTGGGAAGCAGCTCTGTGGAAGGGGACCTGGGGTCCTGGGTGACACAAGCTCAGTAGGGGTGAACAGTGTGCAGCCACTGCAAAGAAAACCAACAGGATGCTAGGGAACATCAACAAGGCCATCACCAGCAGAAATAAAAATGTTATTGTCCACCAGGAATACCGTGTTGTTTTGGTCCCCACCATACAAAAAACAAGATGTGGACGGGCTGGAGAGGGTCCAGCGAAGGGCCACCAAGAGGATCCAAGGACCGGGCAGCCATGTGAGGGAAGGCTAAGAGAGCTGGGCTTGTTCAGCCTAGAGAAAAGAAGGCTGCGGGGAGACCTTATCACCATGTTCCAGTATTTAAAGGGTGGCTATAAAGAAGATGAAGAATCCCTTTTTACAAGGAGTCATATGGAAAAGATACAGCATGGTGGGCACAAGTTTACTAATGGGAAGATTCTGACTGTACACAAAAGAACAGTTTTTTGCAATGAGAACAACCATCCACTGGAATAATATCCCCAGGGAAGTGGTGGATTCCCCAGCGTTGGACACTGTCAAGATTTGGCTGGACAGGGTGCTGGCTCATCTACTCTAGGGCATGTTTTGCCTAGAAAGGTCAGACCAGGAAATCCCTGAGGTCCCTTCCAACCTGTGATTCTATGTCCTGCTGCTGCCATCCCAGACACAGGCCTGGGAGAGAAGGAAGAGGACGAGGATGAGAGCAAGCACACACACCACCCCTTGGGCATGGAAGGCAGGGTAGGCAGCTAGCCCAGTGCTTGAGGTGCACCGGCCCTATCCTGACAGGGAGCTCTGTTTCTGGCATGGCAGGGAGCTCCCACCTCCTCTCCAAGCAGTGGGAAGGAGCATTTGGAAGACTGAGAAGGGGGCAGAGCTTGCACCACCACCTCCACACTCTTATCTCCTGCCCCTCACCTGATCATTTTCATCACTGAAACTGTTGCCATACATGAAGCAGCCACGCTTGGAGGCATGCCCATGGAGATCGACATAGTAGGCCAGCCCGCTGTCCTGAGGCGGGATGGCTTCAGGGAGAGGTGTTGATGGACGCCTCTGGGCTTCCTCCTCACAGTGCTCTAAGGTGTGGCTCGAAGAGAGGATCCAGACAGCTTGGTCCTTGCTGCCTGGGCGGGCGGGCGGTGCTCCCAAGAGCCGGGCTTCCTGAGAGGGGCTGAGGTACACACTGGCATGCCAGGCCCTGGGCGAGTTGCGGAGGTTATTGGCTTTCTCCAGCTCCGAGAGGGCTGCCTGTGAGGATGGGGTGCTGCTGTGGACAGAATGGTTGGAGGATTTTGTGCTTAATGAGCTGGTGCTGAGCGGGGAGATGTATGTCCTCCAGTCGGGAGAGCCTGGCAGGACGCGGCTGTGAACGTGGTGGTACAGGAGGACGGCTTTGGCTCCATACACAGCGGGGTGCAGCTCAGCGTCGGGGTTGAGATACTGGCGGTTCAGGTTTACTCCACGCGAGTCAGTTCTGTAGAGAGCAGAGGAGATGTGAGGTCCTTTGTGCAGTACCATCTGTTCTGTGAAGGCAGACTGATTTTGCCTTGTAACAGCTGAGGCTTTGGGCTCTATCCTGGCCAAATGGGCAGAGACTCTGCCCCAGAGCAGCCAAGAACCTCTCTCCTGGAGGGGCACTTGCCACAGTGAGACAGAGCCCTGAGTGATCTCCCTCCTCCCTGGAGCCAGCCCAGCTCCAACATGCCAGGAGCGCCAGAATAGGCTCAAAGGCACAGGGCAGTGCTGCTTGCCCAAGCAAGAAAGCCCTGACCTGGGAGGTGACCTATGCAGGCAACAGTATCCCCAAAACCTCACTAGAGATCCCAGTGAGGAACAGGGAGAGGTTGTGGCAGCCTAGATCTTGGGCCTGTTCTTTGCAGCCACCACAAAACACACAGCAGGCTCCAAACAGGAGAATGGCCCAGACTGGACCCTGGCCCATGCTCACTCACCGATAGTGGCCTCGCACCACTCCATCAGGGTTCAGCATGGGTATGAGCTTAAAGACGAACATCCGCCGCAGCATCTGGGCACGGGGATCCTCCTCCCGCAGGATGAAGTCCAGGAAGCCATTGAAGACAAAGCTGGAGGGTGTTTCTCCTGGGTGGACTCTGCTGCTCAGGAAAAACACCTGGGGGCAAACAGACAGGTGAGGAGTGAGAGGCAGGTGTCTACCTGTGCAAAGATGCTGCAATGGCCTTGCCAAGGGACCAGTCACTCCCTGGGGCAGCTCCTGGTCTGCAGCCAGGCACTATGGTGCTTGAGGTGGAACCAAGGCCTGTACATAGAGCAGACAGCTCAGTTCTGGCATGGTGACACAACAGTTTTCAGTGGCTTCTTTGCCTGGTGCCTCTTCTAAGTCCTGCTTGGAATGAGGCTGCATATCCCTGCATAAGACCAAAGGGCCAGAGCCCTGCAGCCTGCTGCCAGGAGGAACCAGAGCACGGGCACAGAGGAGCCCCCAGGGGAAAGCCCTGAGCAATCCCGCAGAGCCTGGCTGCAGGGCAACACAAAGCATCTCCTGAAGAGCACTTCTGTTGGCAGGAGCTGCTCAGCAAGGCTACACCCACAGCCTCCCATCTGCCCATCCCAGGTCCACGCAGCCTCAGAGTGACCTCCCTGCTTGTCCTGTTCATGGCAGGCAGACCCAAGACACCACAGCGGGGGCTGACACCCCAAGTACATGCACAGCACTTCCATCAGTTCCTTCACAGCTTAATGGAGCTACACCATTAAAAGGGGAACAGAACATACCTCTAGGCAATGAGATGCTCATTTCTGCCCCAAGGAACAGGCGCATGGTGCTACCAGAGGGCATTTCACAGTGCTGAGCTGCTGCGGATCCTCCTGGCAGGCTCCCACGCCTTGACATGGGATCTCACAGACTCTTTACTCATAGAATCACAGAGTGGTTTGCGATGGAAAGGACCTTAAAGCTCATTCAGGTCAAA